GGTGTGGGGTTTTTTTTTTAGTGAGGGGATGCAGGCTACCGTCCGCCCGTGTCTTGGACCTAAGCTAGCCCGACTGTCTGCTGTCTCGCTCTGAGTTTAGGGTTTGGCTTTTTGTCACGTGAAAAGCTGAGCTCTATCTAAGAGTTGGATGGTTGAGAGGAAAGGCAGTCCCATTATTTTGTGCCATGGTGGCATGGTTATCACTGGGAGGTGGGAGCCTAATCCTGAGCCTTCTCGGGGTGGGGGTGTGGCATGCAAAGAGTACGTAACCTTTATTCGGCACATGTACACACCCTCATTTACAGGCTATCTCCCGCAACCAGTGAACCAGGTGACTGAGGGTTGACGATGGGGCCCCGTCGTTCAACCAGTACCCAGGTTCCAGCCAATGAGAAGATGGTTTTGGCAATCGCAGAGGTTATGTGGGTACCACTCTCCTGTCTTCCTGTCCATTCCCATTCTAGAGCTGGTTGAAGACGTCTGCTCTCTAGTGGGTTCTATTCTGCCTTGCTTACCGTGGAGTGCACTAAACCTATGCTGTACATAGTCTATAGTGTACAATGCCTGCACTTTAAGGAGGGGTTTTGGATATTGGAGTTTGGAGGGATATGTTGTGTATCTTTATGTTTATGCTTCTAGACTGTTGTTTCTGAGCACCTCTGCAAAAACAAGTGATCTGCGAGTGTGTGAAAGTGTTGAATGATGTGATTATTTTTTTTGGCAATCGAGGATTTTTTGTACACTTCTGTCTGGCCCTTGTCATCCCCATCAGAGCTGGTTGAAGCACGGTCGCTCTTAGTGGCTTCTATTCTGCCTTGCTTACCGTGGAGTGCACTAATACCTATTGCTGTACATAGTGTATATAGTGTACATACTTCTGTTCTAAATTGGTGAAGGATAATATAAGTAAAAAGTTTTCTGCTGTGTTTATTTTGCTCCCTTTACACCCAGGATAACAGGCAATTTGGACTCCTGGGTTGTAATACCCAATAACATCCTGGTATCTTTCAATGTTTTACATCCAGTGTATACAACAATATCCAATACCAGGCCACTGTCACAGTCACAGAGTACAAACAGTTTTATACCAAAGCATTTCCTCTTGCTCGGTAGATACTGCTTGAATGACAGCCTACCATTGAACAAAATCAAAGACTCGTCAATTACAAGATTCTTGTAAAGTAAAAGGACACAAGTGCAACTCATGTGACAATAAAATGTCACATTAGTTGCACTTGTGTCCTTTTACTTTACATATTGTCGGTAATTCTACCAACTTTATTACAAGATTCTTGAATGGATAAAAGCATATGTTGAACTTTTGTTTGAGATACATAAAAACATTTCTAATCTTGTATAACCTGTCACTTCTGTCAGGCCTGGTTTTGTCAGAGAAGTGCAACATACGTAAAAGTAAGATAAACCTGCTCACTGGGATGATTTCACTGAAGACCGGGGTAGAAATTAGCCGAACTGTGGACCAGTATGCTTTTATATTATGCTTATATACATGAGGCATAAGCATTATTGTTGCAAAAAGCAAATACATTTCTGCAACAATTGTCTCTTTCCACGGGTGTAATCTCGACTGTGGTCACATGATCGTATTTGCCATGGTGTACTCAAAATACTTGTTACTTGCCCTGACAATAGTTTCCATCAAGGGCTGGTCAAAGAATATTTAAAAAAATTGCAGTTCATTGGCCATGGTTCCAAGAGGACAAGTAGGTAGAATTCCACTTTGAGAGTCATCAAAGTGGAGGGGCTTGGGAACAAAATTGGGATTTTGCTGCCAATCCCAGATACGGTTTGCTGGTGGATAATGGACATCATAGGCTGGTTGTGTGGGTAGTGGTGGTTGTGGTGGGATGGTGGCTGACGCTCCGCTTTGTCCTTGAACTGAGGAGTCAGCAGCGTGGGTCCCAGCCTGGGCTGGTGAGTCACGCATGGCCGTGGCACTACCATCACCACTACAACCATCTACTGATGCCTGTGGTCTATCCATGCCAAGTGTAGCCACATCATCCTCACTTTCACTGTCTATTCCTGGTGTAGGGCCACGGGATGTACTCCGTCCCCTGGGCACTGCATAGGGTACACTACCCGAGCGCATGCGGCGGCGTATATACTGACGCTTCACTGGTGAATATATTTCCTCACTATCACTACTCGAATGATCGTCAAGAGCAATAAAATCACAATCCACGTCACTATCATCATCATTACTGAAGTCAGAGGCCTGGCCATGCGAAAATAATAGTTTTCTCTTGCGATGAGGTACAACTGACTGTGACTGAGGAGTGCCCGCACCAGAGGTAGAAGGTTGAAGATCATCAGGGCTTTCTGCGCTATTACCGATATCCTGGTCATTCCTTTCGGTCACTAACTGATTAAAGCCAAAGAATTCGTCTTCATTTCCACTTCCATCAGTGTCAGAACTATCAGATAGGAAGAGGAGAGTCTCAATTTTCCTTGGAGTGAGAGCTGCCTTGCGACGAGGCATGGCGAACAAAGGTAACTGAGCCGGCGTTCCCACAATGCTATGCGGGCGCCTAGAATTTCTGTTTACGGTGCACACCCACCATGCAGACCCGTTTTTTCACATGTAGGCCTATGAGCATTTTCGCGCTAAATTTGACTCTGCTAGAATTTTGGCATAGATCTATGGTTTGGACCCTGAACGTGAAGCCGTAGATCTACGGACAGACCCTGAAAGGGTTAAGGGCAGTTACTGGGCTAACGCAGATTCATATACGTTTTCTCCGAAGCTGGACCAGAGAAAATGTAATGTTTACCTTCCAACCGACCTCACCCCTCGATAGCTTATTAACACTGCATGTTTATATGCTATGTAATGTGTTTCTTATATGTAGTATAATTTTGAAGAAAATATCATAGATGGATTAATGAAAATGTAGACATTTAATGTGCCCAAGAGTGATTATTATTAGACATACATCGCATATAAACATTGCATGTTTACATAGCATGTTTATATGCTATGTAACGTGTTTCTTACATAATTTTGAAGAAAATGTCATAGATGGATTAATGAAAATGTCCATATTAATGTAAAATAAGACATTTAATGTGCCCAAGAGTGAGTCATGAATGTATGAGCAGCCCAGGTGGACGTATCTGGAGTTATCGATTTCTGAGCCGATGTACGAAACCCAGGGGGAAATTTTGCCTAAAAAAGTGCTCGAATCTGAATTGTACGATTTACCCACCGACTGAAAACCGGGGGTCCACTGTAATGTTCAGTTACCTGACTTTTATATCAGTATACAATATTGTATATTAACCCTTTCAGGGTCGAGAGGCCCTCTCCTAAACTTCTCAGGGTCGAAAATTTTTCGGAAAAAAAATTATTTTATCTTATGAAAAGATAGAGAATCTTTCCCCAATCATAATGACACCAAAAGTATGAAATTTGATGGAAATGTTATGGAATGATGCTCTCGTGAAGTTAATGGTCTTGACGATGTTTACGCATTGGCGATTTGCCGAATTTGAGCCCTATTTTCGACCAATTCCAGTGTACTAGTTGACAAAAATGATAACTATTTCACTAGAACTCCATTTTTTTCTATTGAATGAGTACAAGAAACCACCCATTTACCGATTTCAACTATCCAATAAAGTGGTCAGAAATTAGCAATTTTGCCAATTTCACACAAATTTCAAAAGATGCCAATTTACAAGTAGGGTCCAGAATAAACAAGATAGACATTCCTGGCACTAAAATAACATTTCCTCTGTTCATTAGTCATGTCCCCAGGCCCCTCTTACATTTCTTTTGCTTTCCACTTTGAATTTTTATTCTCACAAAAAATAGAAGATTAACTGTTATGCAGATTACTGCATTAGTGTAGAAATGGTATAAATAATATCAGCGCACTTGTGAAAGAATATTAGACTCACCAGTTGATATGTATTGGATGTGTGGCATGATTTGTTTACTTTTGAACTTTGGCAAAAATCGAACATTTCTGCTAATTTGAGCTCAATTTCAAGGTACTTTTCATTGTGAAACCAATCAAAATCATCTCAATTTCTGTAATATTTCTTCCATTCTATAAAATGAGACCAGAAAAACTAGAATAAACCCATAAATACCATACGAAAATACAGTGCAAAGTCGCTGTTTTAAACCAAAAACACAAAGTTTTTTTCCTCATTACGCACTGTGCTGCAGGATTTCTTTTATACTGTGCACACTGACCACAAGACAAATTCTTTCATATGTAGGCCTACCAGCTTTCTCTCGCTAGATTTGAAGGCGCTAGAATTTAGGCATACTAGTACGTTAATAACCCTGTTGCGTAAGCCATACTAGTACGTCGGAAACCCTGAAAGGTTTAAATGTACTGCTCCATAACCTGTTTCAATAGAGAGTAAGAATCAGTATTAGTCTGCCTGAAACACCTAGGCCTGCTAGTGGCCTTCTTTGTAATTATCATTTTATAATACGTAAACCACACATTGTAAGCTTTGCAAGGAAATAAACATTTTCACTTTCATTTTCACTGAGTAACAGTGAGAGCGTTTCTTCTTTTTCAGGTTACGCTACCTGAGTGGGAGATGGCTTGTGTGTTAGCTGAGGAGGATATCTTTAAAATGTGACATACTAAGGGAAATAGATAAGGTCAAATTAAAAACTAGAACTAACCTCTATGTGAAGAGTTAATATTGTCACTATTATAATGATAGGCACATATGATGATCATTCTACTACTGTTGGTCTCTTACTGTATTTATACTATACATTCATAAGGAAAATCTAAACCTACACTGGTCACATAGTACCAAAGGAGTATGATCTAATTAGGCCTGATTAAATGAAGAGGGTATTTCCATTTATTTGGCATAAAAGCCAGCATCAAGGCAAACTCTCTGAAGAGCCTTTCCATCTATATTCCCATCTTTAAGCAGACATATCCACATGGCTTTAATTTTTATTTAGGCTAATAAAATACAGTTGTCTGCAAAATACTTACCCTAATAATAGTAGTGTCTATAAGAGTCTGAAGTGCAGAAAATCCTGAGAAGTAGTAACCATTTGGAGGGCATCCAATCATCTGTAAGTCATCTGTTTGCAGATTACGACAATTTTCCCCACTAGTCCATCTGTTTGAGTTCAGATTCAAAGTTAGAATATTTTAATAAGTATAAATACAATGACTAAAATTATATATCTTTAACCTGTAAACGGTCCAAACGTATACATATGTTCTCTTGTAAAGTAAAAGGACACAAGTGCTATTACTTGGGTAACATAAAAATACAGTGGACCCCCGCATAGCGAACGCCTTGCATAGCGAACAATCCGCATAGCGAACGCTTTGTTCGCTAAAATTTTGCCCCGCATAGTGGACAAAAACCCGCTCAGCGACCTTCGTCCGAGACGCGTCCAATGTGTGGCCTCAGCCAGCCTCACATGTGCCGCCCGTCCCATTGTTTACCAGCCAGCCTCCGCGGTAACATTCAAGCATACACTCGGAATATTTTGTATTATTACAGCGTTTTCGGTGCTGTTTCTGGAAAATAAGTGACCATGGGCCCCAAGAAAGCTTCTAGTGCCAACCCTGTGGTAAAAAGGGTGAGAATTAGTATGGAAATTAAGAAAGATTTTGAAGGGTTTGGGGCTAACCCTGAGAAGCCTATGCCAGTTGTGGAATCCATTGTGCCTACTTCAAAAATTAAGGAAATGTGTGCACAGTGGGTTGAACTGCAAACCTTTATGGATGAAAATTACCCTGACACAGCTGTTGCAAGCTGTGCTGGTGACTATTTCAATGACAATGTTGTGGCCCATTTTAGACAAATCGTAAAGGAACGGGAGGTACAGAGCTCTATGGACAGATTTGTTGTGCGACAGAGGTCCAGTGACTCTCAAGCTGGTCCTAGTGGCATTAAAAGAAGAAGGGAAGTAACCCCGGAAAAGGACTTGCTACCTCAAGTCCTAATGGAAGGGGATTCCCCTTCTAAACACTAACACTCTCTCTCCCCTCCTCCCATCCCATCAATCATCACCAGATCTTCAATAAAAGTAAGTGTCATGTAATTGTGCATGCCTTTTTCAGTTTGTGTGTACTAAAATTAACATTTTTTTGTGGTAAAAAAATTTTTTTTTCATACTTTTGGGTGTCTTGCACGGATTAATTTTATTTCCATTATTTCTTATGGGGAAAATTAATTCGCATAGCGAACATTTCGCATAACGACCAGCCCTCTTGCACGGATTAAGTTCGCTATGCGGGGGTCCACTGTAGTTTGGACAAATACAGAGTGGTAAGAGGCAGCTTGTTTCAGTGTTCACTCTCTGTAATGTGCTTTGTGTAGTATAACAGGAGAGACTATGTGATGGCAGGGTTTACTGTTTTCAGGAGGATTCTTGCTAAGACTTCGGAGATGGTGAAGCTGCCGTTGTTTTGTTTAATTGTATTCGAAACAGCGATCAGTGCTGATTCAAGGCACTTGCGTCTGCGGAAATTAGTTTCTTTGATCACTAATTGGGCGTCTCTGAATTTCATGAGATGATTGGTGGAATTTCGGTGTTGTACGCAGGCGTTGTTCAAGTTATCGTTCCTACATGTGTAAATGTGTTCATTGAGGCGGGTGTCGAGGTTTCTTGCTGTTTCACCTATGTAAATCTTGTCACAGCCTCCACAGGGTATAGTGTAAACTCCTGCATTGACTGGTTCGTGGTGCTTGGATTTTGTCCTGGTTAGATCCTTTATTGAAGTGCTAGAAGCGATGGCGACTCTGGTGTTAGCTTGTGAAAGTACTTTTGAGACATTCAGTGCAACCTGGCTGTTGGGAAGAATTATAACTTTGTTGGGAGTGGTGTTGATGCGTGGAGAATTAATGATCTGAAGAGCTCTTTTCTTGCAGTCTTTGATGAAAAAAGAAGGAAAATGTAACTCTGTGAATGTTTGGTGAATGTATGTACATTCCTCGTCAAGAAACTCAGGACTACAAATTCGGTATGCTCTTAGGAAAAACCCGATGATGATGCCTGTTTTGGTCTTGGTATCTTGACTGGAATAGAAGTGTGTGAGATCATTTTTATTGGTGGGTTTCCGATAAACTTGAAATCTTAGGTTGTTTTCTTCTTTGTGAATGAGGACGTCGAGGAAAGGTAGCTTGTCATTGGACTCTTCTTCTAGTGCAAACTGGATCGCCGGTTCAACTGCGTTGAGCCTTGCCTGAAGATTCCGTACATCAAAACGTTTGGGAGTTATTACGAGGACGTCGTCCACGTAACGTAACCAAGTGACGCTTGAAGGGATGATGTTGGCGAAGTGTTCGGACTCTAGGTGTTCCATGTATAAGTTGGCTAGGACGGCACTGATGGGGGACCCCATTCCCATGCCGTAGGTTTGTTTGTAGAGCTTGTTATTGAAAGAAAAACAGTTGAAATTAACACAGAGTTCAATCAAGCCAACAAAATCTCCGGGAGGTAGAGGAAGATTAAGGTCCTGATTGACTTTACGTCGTAGAACCTCGATGGCTTTTTTGGTAGGTACATTTGTGAAGAGGGAAGTCACATCCAAACTGCTTAGTTTCTTGTTACGGATGGAGAGGTTACGGATGCGGTTGAGAAGGTCGCCTGAGTGTTTAAGATGAGCGGGGTTGATGGTCCCCAGAAGGCAGGAAAGATGTTTGGCAAGAACTCCGGCTAGTTTGTGTGGAGCACTGCCTATTCCTGACGTGATTGGTCTGAGAGGAATATTGTGTTTATGGGTCTTTAGTAAACCATACATGTGTGCTGGTTTAGGGTTGCTTGGTAGCAAGTATCAGCACTGATCGCTGTTTCGAATACAATTAAACAAAACAACGGCAGCTTCACCATCTCCGAAGTCTTAGCAAGAATCCTCCTGAAAACAGTAAACCCTGCCATCACATAGTCTCTCCTGTTATACTACACAAAGCACATTACAAAGAGTGAACACTGAAACAAGCTACCTCTTACCACTCTGTATTTGTCCAAACTATTTTTATGTTACCCAAGTAATAGCTTTTATATCCTTTTACTCATGTACGAATTAATTGCTCTACCATATTGTATTACTTTTGTCACTACTACTACTACTACCACCACCACTAGTGAACATCGAAATGGTACCTCACTAGTATTGCACCTCACTCTTAGCCTTTATATACCCTCTGTGTCCATGTATTGTTTGTAACGGCTTGATAAAGCTCCTGGAGAGCGAAACGTTGCCACAATAAAATGTCACATTAGTTGCACTTGTGTCCTTTTACTTTACATATTGTCGGTAATTCTACCAACTTTATTACACATGTTGCCCAGTGCCCTGAATATTAAAAAAAAAAAAAAAAAAAAAAAAAAATTAATAGAGAAATAAAGAGATCATTTTTCTAAGTGTTATAGGAGTAAAATGAAAAAAAAAAATAGGGTCAGTATTTACCAAGATATGAGGCTACAAAGTTGGTAATTAATGCCCACCTGACGGCAACATCAAGTCCTGCTGTTTGCAGAAGTGTTGTTGATATACTTTTTTTTCTCATTTTTAAATTATTTTATATAATTTTTATGTTCTGATAATTACAATTTATAGTAGTTCTTGTCATTTCATAACCAATCTTTGTTCTGACACTAATATTGTACTGAAATTGTACACAAATTGTCACAAACACATTGACAGGTAGACATTTACACCTGCCTTGGTCATTCACTATTGTCTAGGAATAACTACAAAGTATTTATAGGTCCCAGCAATGGTATGAATATCCAGAGTATATAATAATAATAATAATACTAATAATCCTAGGTAGTAGGTTGGTAGACAGCAACCACCCAGGGAGGTACTACCGTCCTGCCAAGTGAGTGTAAAACGAAAGCCTGTATTTGTTTTATATCATGGTAGGATTGCTGATGTTTTTTTTTCCGTCTCATAAACATGCAAGATTTCAGGTACGTTTTGCTACTTCTTCTTTCAATTAGGTCAACCTACACATATATGTACAAGCATATATATACACACCCTTCTGGGTTTTCTTCTATTTTCTTTCTAGTTTTTGTTCTTGTTTATTTCCTCTTATCTCCATGGGGAAGTGGAACAGAATTCTTCCTCTGTAAGCCATGTGTGTTGTAAGAGGCGACTAAAATGCCAGGAGCAAGGGGCTAGTAACCCCTTCTCCTGTACAAATTACTAAATTTAAAAAGAAAAACCATTGTTTTTCTTTTTGGGCCACCCTGCCTTGGTGGGATACGGCCAGTTTGTTGGGGAAATAATAATAATAATAATAATAATAATAATAATAATAATAATAATAATACAGTGGACCCCCGGTATACGAAGGCATTGGTATACGTTAAATCCAGTATACAATACATTTTAACGCAAAAATTTTGCCTCGGTTCGCGTTAAAAAAACCAGTATACGTGATTCGTCCGAGACGCGTCTGCCAGTGTTTACAAGCGAGCCAGCCAGTGTGCTACCATCTAAGCATACATTCGGTACATTCCATTTTATCAAGTGTTTTTGGTGCTTGTTTCTGCAAAATAAGTCACCATGGGCCCCATGAAAGAGAAAAAGGGTTCAATAACTATTGAAATGAAGAAAGAGATAATTGAAAAGTATGAGAGTGGAGTGCGTGTGTCGGAGCTGGCCAGGTTGAATACGAAACCCCAATCAACCATCGCTACTATAGTGGCCAGGAAAACGGCAATCAAGGAACCTGTTCTTGCAAAAGGTGCAACTGTGATTACGAAACAGCGACCGCAAGTGTTAGAAGATGTTGAGAGGCTGTTATTGGTGTGGATAAATGAAAAACAGATAGCAGGAGATAGCATCTCTCGAGTGATCATTTGTGAAAAGGCTAGGCAGTTGCCTGCAACTAGTGCTGATGTGAGTGAATTTAAGGCCAGCAAAGGTTGGTTTGAAAGATTTAAGATTCGTAGGGGCATACATGGCATAGTGGCATGACTCTCAAGCTGGTCCTAGTGGCATTAAAAGAAGGGAAGTAACCCCGGAAAAGGACTTGCTACCTTAAGTCCTAATGGAAGGGAATTCCCCTTCTAAACACTAACACCATCAACACTCTCCCCTCCTCCCATCCCATCAATCATCACCAAATCTTCAATAAAGGTAAGCGTC